TTCCTTCAAAGCTATTAGTTATTTTATCTCATAAAAGCAATGTCATCATTTTTTAATGCAAATAGTTGTCAATGAGGTCTTGGAGCAAAAGAGTATGGGTTGGAATCCAGCTCAGTCATCACTTGTTGGTCAGTTTGGCCAAGTGTTTCTCCACGCCTCAGTTTCTTCATCCATAAATAAATCACACTAACATCGTCAGATTATTGGGAGGGTTAAATGTAAAATGTTGACGTGTGAAAACAATTCATACATTACAGTTGTATTACAAGTAATAATAGAGCCAATGAATAATACACACTAATCTTATTTTCTTGTTATATTTGTTTGGTTTTCAAATCTTGCTGGAAAAATAACTAGGATCCCCCTGAGATATGTCTTGGGTCTCTGCTAACTGGCATGGTAAGTCAGCATGGGTAGCAATGGTTGATCCTAGCTGAAGCTGACCAGCCTCTTTCCTCCCACAGTGAGTCATCTCTACGGATTTGGACTGATGGATGCAGAAGCCATGGTCATGGAGGCAGAGAAGTGGACGACTGTTCCTCAGCAGCACGTGTGTGTGGAAAGCACAGACCGACAGATCAAGTAATACTTGCTGCCCACAGACAGCCTGACAAGGCCCAAAACAAGGCCAGCACAAGGGCTTGCCACAGCTTCCTGTTGCACATGGAAGCTAGAAGCTTCTGTAATTTCTTTCTAGTGTAGTTGTAAAGGTGATAAAACAGTAAATCCACACTAGTGTAACCCAGATGTAACTAGATGCTGCAAAGGGAATCATCCCCTCCAAGGGGATCTGGGCAGCCTGGTAGAAATGGCCTATCCAAAGTTATTTTCAACTTGTCAGTATCCTTACTTGATGAAGCAGATATTCTCCAAATCTTTATGTTTTGGAAATTTAACTACATACTATGTAGTTCTCCAAAGAGTGTCGTAAAATATATAGGAGATGAGATTGCTATTCACTCAGCTACATAGACTCAGAGACTGTGTTCCCAGCATTTACCCAGCAGTAGGCAAAGTTGATCCTTGGTCCAACATCCAAAGAATAGCATTCCACAATGTTCTTGGCTTTCTTCTCAGCGACTTCTGCCTGAGAAATATTTGTGAACTATGTTTATGGTGTGTGATAAACATATAGCCTTATATCCTTGAGCAAATTAGTTTGCAAGCAGTGACAATGGAATAAAGTGTTTTTTCCCATTCAACTATTTCATGGCCCGAACTAGAAGGCAAAAACATAGGAAAAGAAAATTATTAGTATTAATGAAGCCCTTATTTCAGTCCAAGCCAAGTGCTAGAAACTCCTGGTGTGATTTTTTTCTTAAAACTTTCTTACCATTTTGATATTATTCCCCATTTGACAAGTGAGAAAATGAAGTCAGTTGTACTATTTATTCATCCACAAACTCATTCACCAACTCTGCAACCACTGTTCTTGGACGTATGAAACACTGAGCTAGGTAGATATTAGGTAGAAATACTTCTATGCTTTGGTGCTTAGGCCAGAGAGAAACTGAAGCAAAATGCAGTAAGTAGGTAGATAACAAGTTACATGTGAACATTGAAAATTTTTAAAGGTAGGAAAATAGATACAATAGGAAGAAAATTTTGCTTATGGTTCAATGAAGGTCCCAGAAATGGGATATTTAAGCTTTAACTTTGAAGAAAGAAGAGACAGCCAGTACAACAGAAGTAATTAGGCATACCAATGTGTGCAAAGCCCTTAAGGTAAGAAATGTGGGTGATTCCAGTTGAACTGAGGCCAGTGGGGCAGAAGGCCAGTGTTGCAGGGAACTGCAGTCCAGGAGGAAGTGACAGAGGAAGACAGCAGCCTAGAAATCAGAAGGAAGAGTGAGCATGTGGTTTTCACACAGAGAGATGGCAGCCTAAGGATTTGAACTCACATCGTGGTAATTCCCAAGCCTCCACTGCACCACAGTATAGTGGTTGTCAGTGTATTCTATAAGTCGGTAACATTCATGTTGCCTAGGATCTTACTAGACATGACAGTTCTTGGGATTCCTCTGTGATCAGTGCCTCAGCCATCTGTGTTACAAGATGATTTCAGTGACCCTCAAGTTAGATACTCACTACCTGCATGCAGATAAAAGATCTTTTGCTCCCCATCTCCTCTTAAGGGCATCTTTCTTTCTAACCACTAATCCTTTAAATGACTGTCATTTGGGTATTGTTACTGTTGTCCTTTAGTGTCCAGTGACCGGCTGCTACCTTTGTCCTGTGCTTTCATTCCAAACTTCTAGGCCCACTCACCTGAGTTCTGCGATCTCATTTGTTCAAACCCCCATCTCTCCTGCAGGACCATTCGCCCCAACAGTGCAGTGCGTTCCATCTACAAAGCTTCTGGCTGCTCGGACAACCCCAACCATCACGTCAACTACCTGGAGCATGTAGTTGTGCGTATTACCATCACACACCCACGAAGGGGAGACCTGGCCATCTATCTGACCTCACCCTCAGGAACCAGATCCCAGCTTTTGGCCAACAGGTACAGTGAGGGTCTCTGCACTCCAAGGTGGGAACCACAGCTGCACTCAGCTGTTCTTCAAGGTACAGGGGGACAGCAGCTCTTTATTCCTACCCTGGAGACCAGTGGAGCACGGCCCCTTGGACACCTTGCCGCCTTTGCTCCTACACAGAGAATGAGAACATCCATAGGCAAGGGTGTGCAGAAAAATTGAAGGTCATTTGTTCTTTATCCTAAAAAGGAATTGCAGATGCACCCCTATTAAATGTCTACTGACATTTTACATAGACTAACAGAATCCTCTTGC